CCCCAAAACCCCAAAACCCCAAAACCCCAAGAGATAGATTGTGCCTAATAATTTGAGTAGAATAGGAAAATATTAAAAATTTTTAATGGTATAAATAAGTCAAAAACTCCAAACTCTCACAATTGTTTTATCTTTACTAGTATCGACAGTCTATCCATTGTCGATCATGATGTAAAAACAAGATCCTTACTGTTTTATGACTCCAGTCAAGAAATATTAAGACATTTAGGTGAATTATATGATTAGTGGCATTAATGAGGAGCAAGTTAGTTTCACGGTAATCTTAAAAAACACGATAGGAATTATTTACAATATAATAATAGGTGTCTTATGTAAATGGAGGTGATATTTACGCAGACTCAGGTAAAAGAGAGAATGAGGTTGTTGTTAAGGCCAAAGAGGACAGTAAAGTTAATCTTTGCTGGCAAAAATTAGATAGAAAAACCAAGAAATTGACTTTTAACTTCTAAGTCACGTCTATTGATTCAGATGCTAAGGCAGGCTCATAAACTGTAGATAGGATTTCCAATAGTGTTTAAAGAATGTAGAACAAACTAGATACAATCTCCAGAAATGTATATATGCAGAATGAAATGGACAGACAGCATTCAGATCGTAAGGAATAATTTTATCATAATAAATATGTTGCTTTTAGTGACTTAATCCTCTGCTAGTTATCAGACATGGATGAGTGTTTTCAAGTTAATTATAGTTATCGGAGTTTGTTTCGGATAAATTTACTTCATTACTTAATTCTTTACTAGCAAAAGCACAAAGATGGGAAAGGACAACAATCCATTTGGAAGAAGTATGGTATGAGAAGCTACAGCCATTATAGATTCACTCTTGGTGTCCGCAGTTTAGAATTCGATATAGTTGATGATTACTACTTTAATTCAATAAAATTATATCTTTTCAATTCTTTATTATCCCATTGCTTGTTTAATTAAGTTTATTATATCTTTAAATTTATATTCATATAGCTTATACAAACGGAAAATTCATTATAATTCATCTCATAAAATTGAAACCCTCAACTTGTGTCTATCTTTGGAAGATAGAAGGAGACATTTTTCTTTGATGATAACTAAGGTTCATCTGTCAGATTTATACTTTCAGGCATATCCTTTGTGTTTAATTTATCAAGTTAGTACTTTTTCTTCAAGGATAGTGAAAATATTTAAATTGTCTGTTCTTTGACAGTTTGGCCCATTTTCCTTAACTTTTGAATCTGTTACTCTAGATCACTTATCTACTTTTTACAGTTGAATGTCATTAAATCTTCAAACTTCTTTTTATCATAAATAATCTTAGGTTTCTCCAATTTTATCATTTTCTATCTTCTAAATCCAAGGCTTTTGGTCTCGCTTAGGTGCTAACTAAATTGGTCTTTTGATTTGCTCTTGTTCGCCTTATTTAGGTTGCTTAGTAATCTTATTATTTTGAGATTATTCTTTTGATTATCTACAACAATTTTACTTTGTGCTAAGGAATGAGATAGATTTGATTGATTCAGGGATTCCCTTGAGTTATTTAAATCCTATAGTAACATATTTCTCCAATTATCATTTTTACTACTTTTGTTAACAGACTTATTTCTTTTGAATCTCCCACTGATATTGGACACCTTCTGTGTTTTAGGAAAGTCTGTAAAATCAGTTGTGGCATTAAAATTGTTGTAATGACTTGTCAATTAATTAATAATTTAAAGTTCTTGATTTTTGCTATCTTCAGATTCCAAATGATTAGTTCTAAAATCAAGCAAGTTTCTATTCTTATTTTAGCTTTCCGTCAAGATTAAAACTGAATTCTTTGGGTTTTATCTAATAATTTATCTTTGCACAGATATTGGAGATTTTCTTTGTCTCCTGCTAGACTAGAAAGTTTTATTAAGTTATTCAATTTTACTATTTTCGATATTGATGGCCTAATTATCTAGTACTTACAATTTTTTCTGATCTAGCAAGTCATTAGCAAAAGTATTAAATTTTGGCTAATCTATATTGCTCTTATTTCTAGTTCTCACTTGATGATCAATTAAAATTCTGTTTCTAAATCTCATCATTTTCTTCAAGTTAATTGAGTTATTCAGATATGATTCTAATTTGGGTGGACTTAAACTATTTTTCCTTTTAAGCGAATCGTCTTATTTTTTATCTTCAGACGATTGCATTTCAATTCAACTTTAAAGAGTTGAAGAATTTATGTAACTCTATATTTAAATTCCATTAGTTTCTAAAATATCTTTAGAGGGAGTCAATGCAACTTTTGGAATTGCTAATGAAAGCTAATTTTTAGATCTAGACATTTATATAAATAAATTAATAAATTTGATACAAATAGAAACATTTTACTAGTGAAATGAATAGTGATTAAATTCAGGAATTTAATTTTATCAAGTAAATACTCAAATATTTGATACAATTGTCACTCCTGGGGTTTTGGGGTTTTGGGGTTTTGGGG